GAAACAATCGTGGGTGAACGTGACGGTGAAATTGCATTCCTTTAAGCACGAGAGCGCAATTGTTTTTTTGCGAGTTTGAGGGCGGCCACGATTGCCTAACTAATCCGCTAAAGAAATATCTCGATTTAACATACTTTGATTTAATTTGCATTTGGAAATAAACTGTGTTACGATTAAAAATAAAGGAGCAAAATTGTAAGCAAAAGATTTAAATATTATTTTATGTATAAACTATTATTTATTGATAAATAAAAAATATTTTTTCCGAAAAAGCATCTCGATATAACGTTTGTATCTCAATACTTTTCAGCGGAGTGACAAATTATTTATCAAAAAGCTTGCTTCGTGTACATATAAATGAATTTGAAAATAAATTATAAATTAACTCGTTTAATAATCAAATATGCACACAGCAAAATTTTTAGCAAAATACTAATAAATGATAAGTAAAATCCAGTTCTCTTTATATAGGTTTATATAGTTATCTACTGTATGTTTAAATTAAAACATACAGTACGTGAATACAATAAAAAACATTTTATATATTTTTTTTCGCTATGATGAAAAGCTCGAATGCATAAAATGTTGACGTGAATATCGCGGTTTGATGATTTTTTTTTTTTAGAATTGTCGCATAAGAATTCTATCAATTGTAATGGAAAAATCGTCGTGGATCGTCTTCACGAATTTCGCCCGAGGTCGTTGAAAGCGAGTACGTAGATAAATCTATGTGCCGAGTTGTTTCGGTCGCCTCGATTTATTGGCGCGGACATTTATGATGGAACGCGAATGCGATTTCGAAAAACTGACAATTCTTTTCGCGATGATGTATAGGGGAGGTCCGTTATGCAGCGATTACTCTTGCAGCTGTGGTAACGTTGCGCAACGTGCATGTTGCAACGTGAAACACGCAATGGTAGCAATAAAAGCAACAAATCTGCAAAAATGTTATTGTGCAACATAACGAAGTGGAAAACGCGATTATGGTATCTCTTTATCAATTGTCAATTTGATTAGAAATTCCTATTACGGAAATTTATTATTTTGCATATGGATGCGTGCGAAAACTTTGTACTCTCGAATCACATGAATTGATGTATTTCTGTTCTGTTTTATATAATAGGAATTTTGAATTAAAAATTCTTTTCTGCACATATGATTGTAATATAACTGTTTACACGTGAGTTCACAAATTGAAACTTTTGAAATTTATCCGTATTATATTACGTTATATTATATTATGCGTTTGATAGTTTATTTAAAGTTTATTTCTCGTCATATTCCAACAGAAAGCTGAGTAAATTAATTTTTGTATTATTAAATATACTCTTTTATTGATCTATTTTTAAAATAATATTTCAACATTTTTTAAACCTATTTGCGTATTATTTGTAGAAAATTATGAGTTTAGCAATATATGTACATAATTCGCAGAACTATTTGGCTTCCTATTAGAAAATCGATAGATACTCGAAATGATGTAGCATAATATATATAATGCAAATAGATTTGAATAGTTTTAATTTATAAATTATATGGCAATAGTTATATTGTTATTAAATGTTGCTAAATATTCATTCTCTCTATTAATACATTCTTAAATATGTATTGGTATTGAACATTGCATACTTACGTAATATATAAATATATTCAATTGTATAATTGTTAAATATTATACATGAAATAATATATAATTATATATTTAGCATTGCAAATAAGTTACAAAGTTATTATATGTATATTGGGCATGAATAAAACAGTTTAGGATTAAATATGTAATGATACTTCGGACTCTCATGCGAATGTATAGAAGAATTTTTGTCTATTATCAAGTTTTTACCCGCAACGAAATGTCAGATTTTGACAATCCTTTTTTTGTTACGAAGAAAGTTGCAACGTGTGACAATTTATAATTGATCAAAAATGTTGCTAAATGTCAGTTCCAACAGTTGCGCTATTTTGAGCGAAATATCGAAAAAAATCTTTCTCTGCGGGCGAGGATTCTCTTTTTGGAAAATATTTCAAGAAAATATAATAATTTGTAATAAAGAGATTTTAACCCATATATTAATATTCACTACAGACTAATTACGGTTAAAAGTAGATAAATTTTTAACTATTATGAAAACAAGGAAGCGATTTATTAATCGCGTAATAACGAGGACAGCGAAAAATGAAGCCTGCAATTTTAATTACTGTTTAGCCTAGATTAGCTCAGTTAATTAAATGCTTTGTCTGGTAGCGACAAGTCGCAGCTATATGCCATTCCGGACGATATAGGTGCTCGCGTAGCACGGTAATTCGAAATAGCGTCTTCGCAAATGCCATATGTCAACGACGTGGAATTAATTATCGCCACGAACTCTCTTCTCTATTTCCCCGTTTCTACGTTTTGATTTCGACTGCACGATAATTCAATTCTGTCGAGGATGTAATGACCAGGACCGTGGATTTATAGTATGTGCTATTAACATGTATGAACTTTATTTTTAATCAAATTTAATTTCAAGATTTTCAGTCACCCTGTTCTATAATTTTACGTATAGATTGTCTTTATATTTCTAAATATAATTTAGACTAAAAATTCAATCATTTTAAATAAGCAGTTAATAGATATTACAGAATATTTTTAAAAGCTAAAACTCTAAATAATTAAAAACTATTAATATTTAACAATATAAATAATTTATAAAATGCACAAAGTAAATACTAAACAAAATTATTCTATTGGAAAATAATGAGAGATCGAAATGATATGACATAATATAATATATGAACGTATTCGATAGTGTTTCAATTCATGAACTCGCACGTATATATTATCACATTATGATCAAATTTTTTTCTACAATTATATATTTTTTGTTTAAAGCTTATATCCGAGTTAAATCAAAGTTGTTTAATAACAAATCAAACACATTTTAATAATATGCATGTTAAGTATAACTTTTTACATACTTTTACTCCTATGGGAAATTGTTATATTTGCCGATATACCATATAATTTTCAGAAGATGCAATCACGGTCAGTTATCCGTAATGGTTGACCACATATCACAGACGTGTTTAATTTTCATTAACGACGCGTATGTAAGTGGTATTAATTCAACTCCGTTGCACCGAGTAGTCTCTAGAGGACGCGGGAGGAACCCTACTACGGAGGAAATTTCAAGGCTTGTAAACGAGAAGTAAGTACTGACGTTACGTAGGTAGACCGAGAGTAATATAAAGCGTGATTGGTTGCCGAACATTTGCTGGAAATTGTAGCTGGCGAGCTTTGGAGTTAGTCTGTAAACGTTGTTGTGAAGTTATTTGCGACCGAAACTATGTATACGGGATATAACGGGTTCTGCTACTACCGGATATCCTGTCAGCCGTAGCTTCATCGAGATGCTTGTAAGTTAAGTTCATAAATCAAAGTACATTATACGAACGATTGTACATATTCTTATAATAATTTTTGCAATGACTATGCATATTTATTGCATACAGCATTTGCATTGACAGTATTTTTTCCTTATTCTCGTCGATCTGTCAAAAGAATTAACGTTCTCAATTCATCACGCTTATTGTGATCTTCATAATGGGACATTTTCCCCGATCATTCATCGACGAAGATCGGTTCTAGTCATGCTACACCAGTCTTTATTTATTACCGGGACAAATCCCTAAATTTAAACGCGAGGGTCGGTTTATTGGCGCGTGGTACAATGTGGGGGACGGACACATCGGACACTAATGGAGGAAGTTTTCAGCAGTGTGCGAAAACGAAATATGATTGACCGTTTTACATTCGCGATACTCTTAATGGATACGATACTGCGTGTTGCAAATCGGAAGATGTGTTGATCGTATGGAGTAATAATTGAAATAACTAGCACACGGTCTTTGGATCTATAGCGCCATTTGTTACTAGGATTGTAATTTGCAGTATTCCGCAGAGAGTCGCATCCCTCCTGCGAGAGAGGTACGCGACACAATGAACTCCGAAATAGACTGCTTCCTCTAAATCAAGGTGATAATGTATCAATGCAATTGCGCATTCTCGTAATCTTCGAGCCTATCACTGTTCGATAATGCGATATTTTGTTGATAAACAGCACATTGCATTAATGATATGAAAACTATTTAAAATCGAAAGAAAAAGTATCTTTGCATTTGGTATCTTTATTTGTACAAGACGATTCATAATTATATTCTTCTAATAAATTGAATGTTATTAAAAATATAATATTTTATATATATTAAAGGTATTTAATTTTATATTAAGTTTCATATTAAGACACGATTAAGTTCTATTGTTCATAAATGTATCTTTGAAAAATCTTCGAAAAAAATAATAACGTAAGAAATAGATTAGTCAATTTAATTTTTTACATATTTCAACAAAAGTCATAATTTCAGAAAATATACTATTATAAATTTGAAAAAAAATTACCAACTGATTATTTTGACTTACTTTGGTAGTTCCAATATGAACTTTGTCAATATATTTTATTTTATAATGAATTGTATAGCGGAATTTCATTGTTTTGTGAAACCACATATTCTTATATTATTATCACATTACCAGCATGTATATTCATTCTCTGTGATGAGGCACTCTCAGCAAATTTCAGATTTGTAATATTGGATGTTTGCAGTTTACACATCCGTTTTAGACACACTTCCTGAATGTCTAATCGAATAATGGTTGAAAATTTCACTTTGGATCTTGCATTCAAGAGTAACTGACTGTTTGCAGAGTGAAGGACATGTGAATGATTTGAAGATTATTCATCGCTGATGAAGGTTCCAAATCAAAATGAGTTGAAACGTTCAAATATTATTTTTAAGTATTGTTTTACTTTGTAAAATTAATTACGCTTTGATTATTGCACTGCACTCTTATTAGCCACGTTCTACATATATACTTGTTAATATTTTATATAATATTCATTAAAGATAAATTGAAAGAAAAGGGAGAAAAATTGTTCAATTTTTTAGATACATTTTGCTCTTTTATTTTCTTTCTCTATAATACTAAACATACTGTTTAATTTCTCAGGCAAACACTGATTTTACATATAATTAACATAGTTATTGAATTCGCGTTCCTTTCACTATTGTGCTTTACATACATATACAAGAATTTGTAGAGTGCGATGTTATAATCATCGATATTAGCGGTTGCAATTACACATCACAAAGCAACGTAGAACGGCATGCAGCGTCATTATTCAAGTCGAATTACAAAGCCTTTTGACGCGACAGTGTTATAGTGAATGCCGGGCGTATACTCTGTCTACCATTATCGGGCCAGATAATTATCCTGGTTTCATCAGGTTAGCCCCGATAGAGTCCCAATTCATTGCCTCGCCGTATTCCTCAAATTAATAGAACGCCTTCATCCTCGCTGGTCTGTACATCAATTAATAATCTCGATTTTAATAATACATATATTTTCCGTTTCCCGTTGTTTCGTTAACAAATTGTCCACACACTATTCAATTAATTACAATGTAATCTAAATAAAAATAAATTATAAATAGTAAATGTCAATTTTTGCGGAAGAGCATTTATATTTATTAACAGCAATTTATCAACAAAGTTATTTTAATTATTTTAAGAATGTCATTACATTAAAATACTTTAATTAAAAAAATATCGACGTTGAATATGTTATATATTTAGCAATTAATAATAAAATAATATTCTGTATTTTGATTATTGCAAATGCGAGACACTTTAGCAAATTAAGCTTTGAAAAATGAAATTAAATAGCATATCTGTTTTTCAATCAATTTTGAATCAATCAAGTTTTAATTTATCAAAAGTTTACTTTTGCAGCTAAGACATGTAATGTGAATGAAGTGCTGAATAAATAACCTGTTTTATTTACTTGAAAATTTTATAATTTTTTTCGCTTCGTTTAATAATCCGAAAAAGAGAAAAAGGCATAATGATTAAAAAATTGTATAATTTTTTTTATTTAATAATACAAAAAATGTATAAATGTAAAAGTGTTTGGCAATAAGAATGTGAGTCGCTAAGAGTGCGAGAGAGAGTTGATTATGCCAATATATGTACTTACGATAAAATCTCAAGGGTATGCTTTTGCACGTCGTGTTCTTTACCACATACGCGCAAAAGAGTGCGCGTATGTAGATTTATGTGCGCATAAAACTACTGTGTTGTCTCGTTCTATATGCATGTTGCATAAATGCCGCGTGAGAATGGTGGTATGTGCTTTTATATATCTATATATATGCAAATGCAGTTAGTGTAATTAGATTCTCTGACCTACATCACAGCTTTAATTACCAAAGGGAGACAAAGCTTCGTGTCGATTCTATCTTAGGCTATTGAGACGCAATCTCCTTTCATATAAGAGGCTAACTATCTGTGAATATCATCAGAATTATCTTGAAATAATTCTCTTATCAAATATCACATGTATCACTAATTTTCGAAATTTTTTGTCATTAGCAAAAGTATTTCATCGGAATGATCGAATGTGTAGAACGTCCTGTAATTTTTATAATATTTTATGACAATGTATTCTGAAGGTTATGGAACATTCTGACAAAATGAGAGATAACAATAATTATCGATTTATACGTGATCAAAGTCAGTCGATGATATGGCATAAAATTCACATGCTCAATTTAACTATGCATATATACATTCCTCATTTCAAATGCTATTTGCTATCCAATTTTATTATATATGATATTTGCTTGATATTGATTTTTAATTTTAATGATATAGAAAGCCAAGTTCTATCAACAAGTATGAATAAATAGGAAAAATTATGGAAAAGTCGTCACGTTGTGACTTATAAATTTTATTAATAATCATTATTGCATATTTTAATTAAAAAATTTAGTTAAAATCTGTTACTATTGCTTCTTTACACCAGTTTGTGCAATTTAATTTTAAAAAATATAACTGAAATTGTATTTTTAAAATATTCGAAGATTTCAATAATAATTTAATCAACTGTAATGTGTAGTAATGTATATTAAATAAAATTTGAAAGTGAAATGATGTTAGATAAAATTATTAATATATTTCTTTATAATGTTTGAAATGGTTTCCTAACTTTGTATGTTCCATAATTTGTATGTTTAGCAAAAAGTGTAAAAAATTAATATTTTTACAAAATTTAAATATAATTTTTCTCTAGCAAAAGTTATTCTAATATTATTCATTTTATATATTTTATTACCTTTACTCAAGTTACTTAAGAGAAAACATTTTTTCTTTTTTAGCAAGTTTAAATTTTTTACAAATTTTATGCGATTTGCGAATCTCATAATTAATATTCTGGCATATAATATAATATCAAAATATGTGCCAACAAATTATCGGTTAATAATGCATCGATAATAATGAGTTATATTTAATTAGCTTTGTAATTCTTATATGCACATATAAACTGACACGTGATCATGTATAAACATGATGCCGAATTAAATAATATACTAATCTATTCTAGCTTATTTACATTTTAAAATAATAGATGTATGAAATGTTCTTTTAATCTTTTAATTATTTTTTGATATTTTGTACATACAATATACGATATATGTACATGTATATAATATACATTAATTCTGATATAAATAATGTAATTTTCATATTGCTGTGCTTGTCTTATAATTAGCATCGAAATACTACGGTACTTCTCTCTCTCTCTCTCTCTCTCTCTCTCTCTCTCTCTCTCTCTCTCTCTCTCTCTCTCTCTCTCTCTTCTAATCTTTCAATATTAGATAAAACAGATTAGCACTTACTAATACGACGCGCAACAGCCAAGTATTAAGTACGTAACTATGATTCGTAATATATAAATATATCTCAATTTTAAACCAACGTTCAAACTAGTACTAACAAAAATAATTGTTAAATGTATTAAATTTGTTATATATTCTTTATAAATCTTTTTTAAATGTTTGAAAATAATCACATAATTTTAGAGAAAAAAAAAATTTTTTAATAAAAAAATTTATATAAGACTTAAATGAGAGTTGTATAAACGTAATCTTTGTATCAATATTATTAATACTTAATAAATCTTAAATATGTATTAAAATATTATATATTCTTTCGTTAGTACATTATTTTACAAAATTATATAACGCTTTACTGAATGCATTATTAAATTATAATAAACTTTATAATATATATCTTAAATATCTCAAAAAATAAACTGAAATATTTTATATTTCATTGTGTAATAATATAAAATAGTATTGAGAAAATAAACATGCAGTTGATTCTACAATACTAAATAATAATAAATTAATCAAGTTATAAATTATACTTATACTTAATTCAAAGTTACTCCGCCGTTATCTGATATCCTTCCTCCTCCTCTCAGATTCCAATAATTGTTTCTTTCTGTATTCACTCGCGAAAATATGATTAATTATAATTATATATGCTCATTATTACACAGAATATGAAGATTAAAGATCGCGACGCATTATTGTACGGTATTGCCGAAATTTGCATTTTCCATGTCACGATAGAAGAATAAAAAGAGAAATATGACTAATTGCAAATCGCTGAATATATGCACGATGTCTTGATAATTAAGCTCAATTTTCATCAATTTCAAGGAATTCAAAAATTGTACGTTATTGACTATTTCATGCTGCATCCACCATGGTACTGTACCTGTTGCTTCTACACCTGCACTTTGGCATACTTCCCACATTTTGAATAATAAATTAAATTATCTCTTGAGTTTTAATGTAATCACTATTAAAATATACATTATAAGTTAATAAATATGCAATATGAAATCAAGGAAAGACGTACAGACGGAGCAAACTGTACGATATCGAATTTTGATGGAATAAGTTCAAAGTGTGCATTGCATGATATATACAAATTCAAGAGTTATAGAAATTGTTAAATGTATGATACTGAAACAATTATTCATTATACTCGTTTTCTTCTTCCTCTTCAATCTGTACTACGAATACAAGAAGATCACGCGAGATACTCATTTTGACGCGGCTACCATCTCGAAACTTACAAGTCGTCAATCACCTAGAGCTAATCGTGCACAGATTTATAATTACTACTTACTCGCAAGCAATAATCGCATTTGGCGTTGCCTATCACTTGCCATGCTCCGAAGAGTAATACGTTGAAGTAATACAGAGTGTTTTGTGTCGTTGGCTGTCCGCCCGAGTTTTGTCGCGCGAGTGACAATAAAGCGATGTATGTATGTGCGACGTTATGTTTATACAAAAACAATCAACCGTATACCGGCCAAATTGTTGTTACAAAATTTAATACTCTGTAAAATAAAGTAGGTATAGACAAACATATTATATTCTTATTAGGTACATTGATCCCGACAGATAATTTATTAAAATAAATAAACAAATAATTAAAATAAATAAATAATTTATTATCGAATTTTATGCTATTTTTACAAATTTCTATATTGTATAATCTAATATTGTAAGAAATATTACTATGAATTTAACATCATGCAGTGTCTATATAATTCTTACTGTGCTGGTATTAAAATATTAATAAAGAATTATACAGACACTCCATAGTGTTAAGTCCACACCGATAAAGTACAATGTATGTGCTTCTATCCGTGGATTTCGGTTCTTATACCTTATGCCTCACTAAAAGGAGATACTGTAAATTTAGAAATTTCCTATCTTGGTAGGAAGTTAAAAGGAAGAACTGTAGATTTAAAAAGTGAAAATATTAAATTGAAAAATTTTGTACATAATCTTAAGAGTAAGTTTATGCATCTCTCGGTAGACTTAAATAAAACAACGTGTTACAATCTACGAATCAGCTTTACACTGTGTAACTATTGCCTAACTTTAATTAAACTTAAATTAGAATAGCATTCAAATTTCCAAAAGCTAAAAAGGTAACAAAGAAACGAATTAGAATTTAGAATATTAACGAAAAGATAAATATTAATAGTATATATCCATGATGTTTCTTTAGCGCGTTTCTGTATTGTGTCAAGTGAACGGAAGTTTTGAGAAAGTACAATAATGTGGAATCTGAAACGGATTTTCACGGAATGCTTTGTACAAATTAAATTCCGGACCAATTTTGTACGTTTCTTTTCGATCTTACACTTCGTGCAACCGATTAACAAGGGTCTCTCACGATTCAATGAAATTCTTAACTGCTGATATCCTATATTGCTGTAATCTGCTAGAAGGAAAACAAAGTAAAAGATAAAAAGCTTGTAAGTATTCGACGACGCCACAGTATGAAATTGGAAATAACGTATAATTTAAAACACATATAAAAAACACATTATTATGCAATTATGTAAATTTTCATGCGGGATAAACATGCAACATGTAAAAAATAAATTATTTATATTATCAATAAAGTTATACACATGAAAATTGTATAGTTTATTATAGAACATCATTATATCTCAAATAATTCATTGATTCTTGGAGTGACGTTATTTACTAGCAAACAATTAAAATAACTCAATTTTTCATTTAATTTGTAATTCAAAAGAAATTCTAGATTGTTTGTAAAGATTTTTGTATTTTCAACTCTATTATTTCTTTATGTGGATTCAACTCTATTATTTATTAAAGACTATATTTTCATACAATGGAATGTAGAAATTTCATGTTAATTGCATATTTGCTCTAAAATTCTTTGTCAATTCTTGATAATCTTTTTATAATTGTTCTTTTATTTTTTCAAACACAAAAATAAAGAAACCAAAAGTTTTGATACTAAAAGACTAATAATTTAACACAGTGCTAACAAAAATGAATAAATAAATGCGTGTTGGTTTGAGCAACTAATGATTTGGTTCAATAACTCAAAGTTCATGATTCCAAGCTGAAGTTTCAAGCAGGCAAGTGGAACGCTGGCACCAATTCTGAAATTCGGAAACCTACAATTACAAACTTCTCTGGAATCCTGCGTTGAATTTCAGCAACATCCTTAGAACTCAATGAAGTTATACGTAGAATGTTCATTCATACGACATTAGCATTGCTCTCCATTTCCTATCATTTTAATAATAATATTTTAATTCTTCTCATTGGAACTCACACCTTAATATTCAATAATATAAAAATATTCGTGAATACGAGTGAATAAATACATGAAAAAATGTTTTAATTTATTAATTTATTATATCATCTTTTTTTAATAGAAAACAATTAAGCCAGAAACTAAAAAAATTATGGAAATTTGAGTTTCTTATAAATTTAACATTATTTAACATAAATGCAATTTTATATTTTTTTATGTGTTATTTTCAGCGTCTTATTTATTTTTATTAATTTGCAATTTGTTTTTGAGATTTGTACCGAGTTTTATTGGAAACCTTTGGGATTTATTTCTTCGTACTTTTTAAAAATTCCTTCATCCAGGTGGAATAGGGAGCTTAGCTTATGTGAAGCTAAAAGTCAGTATCGTTCATAGAAATGGGGAGGAAAAGACGACGAGATTAAAGCAATTTTGTCGGTCATATGATATTCCGTGGCACTTTGTGGTAATACTTTCTGCGCTCTCATTTGTGGAAATTTCA